AAACTTAAGGAGAAAAATTACTGTAGGCCCTATGGAGGAATAAAATCAGGACAATGTCCTTCCTTTTCTAATCAACATTTCTAATTCTTAGCCTAGACATTTCAACAAACAAAGGAGCCTTACCCTTACCTCAGAAATGTGTGTTCTGAGTTGATATAAACTTCTTAAGTTTCCTAGAAAATTACTTAGACAACTGAAGAGGACCTGGAAACCTAAACAGGGTCGGGGCATGGCCAGGGACATTTTCTTAGGCAAAAAGCTCCTTGAGGTTTTTTGAGTCTGCACCAAAATGCCCTGTGGTTCTTTAAACAACCCCTCCTTGTCAGCATCATTGCGAGTTTCTGTTCTTACAGCTCGCAGAGGCCTTGTAAGGCATCTTGTTCTCTGTAGCTTTCAGTGTTGTCCTTTGCACAAAGGTTGAATTGTATCTACCAGCCCCCCAAGTCTGACTGTGTAAAGTATCTTTACAAAGCCTTCCGTTCTGTAGTCCCTCTAAGGGGAAGGGCACGCTTCAGCTCAGAGAACTGCTGTGAATCTCCCCAGCCAGCTCACTCCTGCTTCCTGCCTTCTGACAGCTGTGGTTTTCAGGTTCTTTTTAGCACAGTTCTCTAAAAATGTGAATGAGACATGAAGTCATGTTGTAGAAGGCGTTGCCCGGTGGGGCCATGGGCAGGTGGGGCCCCTCCAGAAAAAATTCTCTGAGGCTCCCTTTTCTCCAAATGGCACTGGCCACATGGGAGTGCTTACTCTCCTTGTTTTTTAATTTCAACTTTTCTCGTCATATTTGGTTCTCAGACCTGATAATAGCAAGTGATAATAACAAACATGAAACCGATTTGAATTTGAATTTAGTTATGAACTCACTACTGTCGTAACGGAATAGGCAGGGGTTAGCCCTGGGGTCCTGGGCTACTCCGAGGTCTCCCTACAAGTAACAGAGTCCCACTCCTGCCCTGCAGGCTTGGTGTGAACAGTCAGTGGAATGAGGTCTGCACAGCAACTAGTGCAGTTGTCTTCGTCCTTCTCACAGTAATTATAGTCATTTCAGAGGAGCAAATACTTGGGAAATGAATGTCACAGTCTGGGTTTACCCAGAGGGTTTGCACAGATTTGGACCCGCAAAAGGGGGTGCTTCCTTGTCATAACAGGAAATTTGAGGGACTGAAATGCTCCTTCAGCTGCCTAATCCAGCAGCTCATTTCCAGAGCTGGAGACACTGCTTTATCCGTGAGCACACGAGTGTCTGTACGTGTACATCTGTCTGTCTGCCGTGGCATCCAAGTTCCTCCTTGTGGATGTGGTGCCCTCTAAACCCCACATGGACTAGCTTAGACTTTGCTTTGATAGGAGGCCTCATTTAGATGCAAAAAGGGAAGGGACTTAGGGGTCTGCCATAGAAGTTTTATCCAAGTACACGGGGTTCTGAACTGTCTGGGGAGCAGGGCTGAGGTGGGAGGAAGGGCTGCCTGACACCTGTCAGACCACAGTCCTCACCTGACTGCCAGAAGGAAGGAGGTCCCTACTCCCCTGCCAGGGGACTGAACAAAAGGGGGTTTGTGATAACAGTGATTACAATAATAGCAGTAATGTAGTAATAGCTGCAGCTGACATTTATTGACTACCTGCCAGACACTGAATTTTTCCCATTTAATCCTGATAATGATAACCACCCTGAGCAGAGACCATGATTATCCCCAGGAAACCAAATCCGGGTAATTTGCCCACTGTCACACAACAGTGTGCAGGTCCATGTATACACTGGAAATGTCCTCTTTCCTGGCCTCAGAAAACCTTCACGAGAACTCCATGAGCCGTGCCTCCTTCCAGCCAAACACCCAGGGGCCGTTTGCAAGTCTGCTCTGTGAGCCTCTTGCACTGAGGATATGTGAGAGCGTCATCGCGTATGTCTCTAGCATTGTGTGGATATGTTTGGATGTGCCCTGTTTCCCACCTTGGAGAATAAACTCTCAATGGTCAGGGTCCATGAGCTCTCTATCATGTGGCTCCGAGAGTGTCACCTGAGTGGTCCGGGCTAAAGTGAAGGATGGTGTCTGCTTGCATAGTGTCACTGAGGAGGCTGTTGATATATGGTGACTGCTGGGTGCATGCTTTTCTTCTCAGCAAGACTGGTTACCCAGTTTCTCTGCCCAGGAGACACTTTATGCAGCAAGTAAAACAAGCCTGGAGATGACACTGGGCTCCGACACTCTGCAAGTAGCAGGGGTGAGACTTTGCAGAGGAGGAGACCAAAGCATGCTAATTAGTGAATCACATTCAAAGAGAAAAGCCATCTGGGCCATTGGATATGGGAACAGGTAACCACTCACCCTGCCACTGGCCCTGAAGACTTTACTGTGTAGCAGTATTTTTTTTTATTTATCATGCACACATACATGTACGACATGTATGAAATTATGTGCCAGGTACTATTTAATCACTTTTCTATTAACTCATTTAATCTTCAGCAACCATGTGAGCTAGGTTCTGTTGTTATCTTCATTTTACAGGTGGGGAAACTGAGACACAGAGACATAACTTGATCCAGATCCGAGAGCTAGTAAATCACAGAGCCAGGATGACCACCCAGGCCAGATGGTATAATAATTCATTATGATGATGCCTAAACATTAGGAGAATGCAAAATATTTCTAGCACACAGATATTGTAACAAGGAAACATGTAGTACATTTGAGAAATACTTTTATGCAAAATTATTTTCTTCAAGTTTTACATACTCTAGGAATAAGTTCTAGTTTTTCTGAAAGTTCTGTTTTTAAGGGAATTTCCTCCCAAAAAAAGTTGAAGCATGTAGCATGATTTAAAAAGAAAAAGGTCAGCAATGCAAATAGCATTCATATGTGATTTTTGACAAAGCCTTATCTGTGACATTGTGACACAGATATTTTTTTGTTCCTGTGCTAGTCTGTGAGCAAATAAAGACCGAGAAGCCATGTGCTTTGATCCAGACAACCCAGCTAGGTCAGATGTAGAGCTTCAATCCCAGTCCTAACCGTATCTTCCTAGAGTATATAACCTCCTAGACAGAGACTAAAAGGTGTCCCGAAGTAACAATTGTATGCTGTCTTTGTTAGCGAATACAGCAAAAGCATTTTTGCCCTTCTTATACATCCCACACATACCCAACATAGCCCTAGATATGTTATACATATTCAGTGAATCCCTGTTTGATTTTTTTATCTGTATTTTAATTTAGGGTGGATTAAAACTAAGACATCCCTGGCTTATACCACTCCCACCCTAAAATTGTAAGTCCTGGGCGTGGAGATGGGGCTATGGAATGTGAGCCATTCTGGAGGCAGCTCAAAAAACTTGTTCATTGTTCATTTCAGTTCCTCTTGTTCATGAGAAATTGGTCTCCTGAGTGGATCATCCATTTGGTAATCTCTTGGTGAAAGACTGCGTCTTGTTTTGTGTGCCTAGTAAAAGTTCTCACCAATGTAATGTAAGGGTTTATTGGGGCTTGGTGAAATCCCGTGCTTTGAGGTATGTATGTTTATGAATCACCGACACATGCTGATGACTTCTCTACCTCGTGCCCAGTAGTCACTGATAAAGCCTGGGTTCTGTTGCAAGGAGACATATACTGAGAGAAAGTTGATTGTGAGTACCTGTCTCAGGCTCTGCTTCGAATGTCTCATTCACATGCTATTCTTTTCCTTTCCCCTCAAGGGTCGAGATTACTGTTCGGAAGAAGAGGATATCACATAGCACCAATTCCACCACTCAAACCAGGAGCTACTACTGTGTAAATAGGTTACACCCCAATTGAAATCTTTGCAAAGGTCGGTTCTCTTCAGCGAACAGCACTATAGCAAAAGAAGATCGTTCCGTATCGTACGCCCCATTAAATTACAGTGTTTCTTAATGAACTTGCAAAGGAATATTGCTAAAAACAAACAAAAAACTGTTATCGAACTTTCTTTGTTGCTGCTAGTTAAAACTTGTTGCAACTTTTCACTTCTCTTGTGTCCAGGTATGCAGCAAAATTCTGCAGTTTCACCTTAAAGATACTGTTGGTTTTACAGATGCTCTCCAACCTATTTTCTATAAGATGAGGTAGTGGTGAACTCAGATATCAAACTTCTGTTCTAGACTGGTTCTGCTTCTAAGACAAGCATCTCCTCCCCCCTCTCCTTCCTCCCTGTCTCTCCCAAGTGGTCCAGAGCCTTGCTTCTCACTGGCAATCTTATGCTTTGGAGATGGGGTGGTTGCTATGGCAACTTGTTTTTCTGCTCAGAAGAAGTAGAGAAGCTATTACCAATTAAACATGTTGTGACATGACTCCTGGAAGTGACACAGGAGCAAGCAGCAGGTTGTTTGATTTACTAGGAATTTGAATCGAGGATTAAGCTTGCGACATTGGCTTTGCTCAGATGCAGACGAAAGTGTGATCACAATCATTTTGAATCCCTCCTCCCCACTCCCCACTTTTTTTTTTCTAAGAAAATAAACATTTTACTGTTTTTATGTATCCTCGTCTTCTCCCATTCATCCAGTTCCCTGCTTCACGTTGATCCTGGGTGCGGAAGATGTACCCTCCTTTGCAATGACATGGATAATTGGCCTTAGCGGCTCCCTACCCTCCAGTTAATAACTGCCACCCGTTAGCAGGGCTGTAAGTGGTCATAAGAGGTGAGGGGACATCCCACAACTTTTAGGAGGGCCTGGACCACCCCGTTATCTTTCATTTTGTTAGCAAAGAAACCATCCTACTTCCTCATTCTGTCCCTTCACAATGTTACACGAACCTTGCCACTTCCTGTTCCTCTCGCTTGCACCCCTGAATGGGACCGTGAAAAGCCTTTGCCTCCTGGGAAATGCAGGGCATTTACACTGGTGATGACGTTTGGAGATGCCAAAGCCAAAGCCCCAGGGCAGGAGTGGGGAATGTTAACTGTGGGATTGGTAGAGTTTATTTTTCCATATTATATGAAGAGAATGATCTCTTCTCAAAGACAGAAATAATATTTTTAACAAATGTTGTCGCAAGTAAATAACGATCAAAAGGAGAAAAATAACTTTTGTATTTTTTTTAACGCGTTTGATAGCTTTGACGAGGGTCGTCTTCACTGCTTTCATGGGAGGGCCAGAAGCCCGGGTCTGGTTTTGTCCCACGAAAACACGCAAGGAGCCCTGTGTGTTTCTCAGCGCGGGGCTGGGATGTGAAGGGCGAGATCAGCCACACGACCCGAGGCAGGTAGTTACTATGTTCTGGGTAGTCAGGAGATCACCAGCCGCAGAAAAGAGTAAGAGGCTGAATTTGTTTTGCTGAGAAAAGGAGGCTTGACTTTGAAATCCATTCACGTAATCGATGGCACCATCGATGTGCTAATGGTGAGACTCCTCACCGCCCTTTAGACCCCAAACACAAAAGTGAGGGGAAGGAAGGCAACTCAGTCAAGCACTAGAGAAAATGAACTCAAATGTTAGCAACAAAAGCCCTCAAGTCTTTCAGCCAGCAGCAGCTATTTCAGGGAACAGCTGTGGTTGTTACATAAATAGAGAGGCAGCCAAAATTTAAGGCTTTTTATCTTGCTTCAAGCAGAGAAATGCACGGAGAGTCAAGTGGCCCAGGCTTTTAAGTTCCCTCCCCTTTGTATGGTTTTGGCCAAGTGACCAAAATAGTTTCCCTCAACTGTAAATGAACTGCTAAGCCCCACCTCAAACTTGTTCCCTGGGGACTGACTTTCTGTTCACTGTTATGTGGATGACCTTTTCCCGGGATTTCTTGTTCTTATTAAGCAAGAATGATGCAAATGCTCAATATCTTCCATTTGCCTCCCCTCCGTGGTGTCTCCCACAGGGTCGTCCCAGAAAATCACCACCTTCTGCCCGAAGACAAGCATGCACCTATCATTTTTCTTAGAGTCACATTTAACATGCTGTTGATACGCATGTACGCAGAACCGAGTGGTTCTTGGGAACATGACTTTTGAGTGTTTCATAAAACCAGAAACTGGTTCCCCTGAACAAGTTGGTGGCTTTCACCTGGAGTTCTCTCCCCCAGGTTTAACTCTTTGATGTACGAAAGTGATTCCATCCGCAGACGCGTTTGATAACATCTAGAAATAGATTTGAGAAATGGGATGGTTGAGCGGGTTGGCATGAAATGCTAAATTATGTTAGCAACACTCAAAATTGTTTTCCATTTGTTGGTTTTAATCATAAAATTGTCAAGTGATTTGTGTTTGTACTGTTTTTTTATGCCTTCTGAAAGGGTCTAATGCAAAAATATTTTGCGTTTTTCCCTCCTGTGTATCTGAACAGTAATCAGATACAATGAAGAGAATAATCCAGAAATTAGTGCTTCTGCTGGCTCTTATCTCTGCGGACTCAGGGAGCTGGAAGGAGTGAGGGAAGGAAGTGGCCCGGGGGTGGAAGCAGAAAAAGGATGAGAACTGAGCAGAGAGTTGATTGAATGGCTGTGTGCCGGGCACTATTCAAAATCCAGCTGCAAGTGGCCCGTGGGTGGGGCAGACTGTCAACAAGATTTACGGCCGCGTTCCGCACGCCTGATGTGCCCGGAGTTGTGGAGCTGTAAAAGTTCAGCAGTGTGTGCACGGCTTTCTTCGGTGGGCTGAGACTCAGGATCACAGAGCACTGATTGTACCATAATTGACTACGTGTTTGTTACTCACAGGGAACCTCAAAAGAGGCTTTTACCTCCGTGATGCCTCCCAGTCCCAGGCTGGAGTGTAGAATGGTGTTTGGTCTATTTAGGGACAAAGAAGGTATGAAGCCCAGAGAGGAGAAAACTAGGACAGTCTCAGAAACAGCAGGGGCCACCCACGGGCCTGCTGAGCGGCGGGTCTCTCCAGTCTGCAGAGCCCTGGGTCTGAGACAGCACTTTGGTGACTTGAATAAAAGGGGGCCTGACAGAGGAGGAGACGCCATTCTTAGCACTCTGCACAGGCGCCAGCTTCCTCCACGCTGCAAGGTGAGGGCGCACCCCTGTGTCCAGGGCCCACCCAGGTCAGAAGTGGGCATGCCTGAACCTGATAGCCCCCAGGAACAGGTCGAGAGAGGATGGTGCCCACTTTCTGGTGCCATTTGATGCCATCCCACTTTGAGTTGCCACCTTTTCCTCCTCCCAGCATCACCAAGACTTTTTTCAGGTCAGACTCCTTTATAAGGGGGCAAAGAGCAGAATTATACCTCTCAGGAATTTTACCTCGGTGACCTATGATGCAGGCTGGGCTCTCAGTTACAAGTCCTGCTCAGACACTGAGCAAGAATTTAATTAAGAGTGTTCCATCTCTTCCAGTCATAGATAGAAACTTGGTTAAATATGTTGGTTTCACAGGAAGAAAATTTATCAAATTCTTAATCCAGGAAAATACTGACCCAATCTTGGACTCAGGATCTGATGTGCTCTTCATGAAAAGCGAACTTTTGGTGTTTGAGGCTCTCTCCTTCCTCCTCCCAATTCCATCACATTAAAAAAAAAAAAGTATTAGATCACACTTTGTAATTTTACATAAAATCTGTTTTCCATGCTTTTCCCCTGGAAGGCAGTTTCAGAGCTTTATTTCTTTCTTTGTACTTCTCAGAAAATAAACTTTTTGTTAAGTTGCTTAAAACTTAGAAAAAGAAGGCGTAATTGGAGAGAGGGAACATGTACTTAAGGGCATAATGAAAAAGTGACGTGAAACAGGAACTCTGGCTTCTCGATGTCCCGGTGGACCCCCGGACCCCCACGCGTGTCTGTAAAGCCGGGTGAGGCAGTTGGCTTTCACACTGCACATGTCCCTATAATAAACCTCTGGAATTTCACAAATGAGGTCTATGAGTTGCCTTTTGCCAATGAATGAACGTGTATTAACAAGGGGGAAAAAATGTCCTTGGCTTCAGTCACCTTTTTGAATGTCTCTGGAAAGGGGTCAACAAGGTATGGTGGAAAATGAGGGTTGTGAGTGAATATATTTCTTTCATGACAACCCTTAGGGCTCTCTAGCAAGGCCGTGTTTTTCAGCAGACTCTTGTACCTTCTCTGGGATCAAATGTGATCTTGGGGGAAGAGGAAAGGGATGTAATATTGATGATCTGTGCTCACTCTGCGCAGATACTGTACTAGGCATTTTATAATTGTCTTGGGTAATCCTCAGGGAAATCCTGTGGAGTCGCTCCGCTGCGCCATGCTCTAGGTAGTGTATCTTGCATAGAATGCATCTTTCCAACAGAATGCCCATGGTGAAGGAAGGAAAGATGTCATTCAAGTATGTTCCTAATGTGTTTATTATTACTATGCCAAATTTGTTTATTATTACTATTTGCAACACTGTGAAAATAACCCCGTGGGGGCATCTGCTTGCTGGAATCTCTCTTTGGCTCATCACCAGCCCGGTTTCCCCATGGGGAGTGTTTTCCTTGGCCTTCCCATAGCTGGTGAGCTGCACACAAACCAGGAGAGGCTGCTGGCTAATAGGACTTGAGTGTCTGGAAGGAAAAGACTTGGAGAATTTACGCATGTATCTCTCCCCCGGAGTTCTTTCAGCATCAGAAAAGGAGCCTGGTACTTCTTCAGTTAGTTACTAGGAGTGCTCTGATTTCTTCTTAGGCTCATTGCATAGCAGGCTGCCTCCTTGTAAGGTGACCTTAATCTTGCAAAGCCTAACCTTGCAGAGCAGGTTGGGAGAACCTGACTTGAAATCCTTTCTTAGAAAGTAGGATGTGATGCCTTTTGTGATCTTTGAGCTGGAGGTCTATATTCCCAGGTTAGTTTAAGAACCAAAGCTAGATGTGAATCTCTTTTGAGACCTTAAATGTTTTTGAGAGTCAGGTGGTGACTTGAATAGTCATTTAAATAATGTGTTCCAAGGTCAGAAGAGCCCAAGAATTCCCTAGCGTTCCTCTCCTTGCTTCAGAAGGAACATTCTATGAAGAAGATAACTCATGTCTCCATAGCAACTGGTAGAGGTGCTGCCTAGAGGGGACCCACCCCCACCCCCACTTACTGGGCTTGAAAGAATCAGAATAGTTTCCTTGTATAGAGAGGGTGCTGTGTCCAGTGAAAACTACCCCAAGATCCTGCCTTTTTCTAACCTGGAATCTATCAAATTCCTTCAAGATAATGTGGAAGTGACTCTTGTCTCTTGGAAGCCAAAAGAATTGCTTTAATTCAGCAAGATTCACCCCAATCCAGTGGCTCCATTCTAATAGTGCCTTCCCTCTCTCCCCAGAATTCTCCCTTCTTCCCTTTCCAGGGGTTATTTTTTAGCCCAAGGCTTTGAACTTGAGTAAGACTTAGAGGCAGTAAAAAGAACACCATAAACTCAGCCAAAGATTCCTCGGGGTCTGTAGGGTTGAAAATAGCTCTAGAACCTTGGGGCCCATGAGGCCTAGACTCAGAAGGAATCAAGAGACCCTCGTTTCCTGGCATTTCGGTCCAGACCTTCAGGGGCTGGCTGTTCTCTCTTGACAGTCAAGTGAGTGAGGGAAGTTTCTCAGTAGATTCCAAGCCAGCTTTTCCATTCAAAGCAAGATGCAAATTCATTTTAAAAAATCTGTATCTATTTTCCTGGAGCAGAACCCGGCAGCTGCCTTATTAGAACTCTGAATTTGAATTAACACACACACATACAGAAGACACAAGAGAAAGAAAATACAACAATATAGTCACTGAAATTCTTCAAGAAGGAACTGTGTTTTGCTCTTTGTAATCTCTAAGATAACAGTAGGCAAGTATTAGTGTAGCTATAATAATACCAAACCAGGAAAAGCTAGTGATCACTCTGAGGGAAGTTTGAACAGGAGGATGGAGATCTGGTGGTGGTCTCTCCTCGTGCCCCCTGTTCCAGGATGCTCTGCCACTCGCATGTGTGACTCGGCTGAGCCTCTGGCCTAGATACTGTGGCTGGCACCCTTTCCCATCCCCAGGTGCATAAAGGACACATCCCTTAGGACGTGTGCCCGGTGCAGCCACATACACCCACGGGGTTTCTCACACACTCTCCCACTCATCCAACGTGGCCTTTCCCGTGGCATTTCAGCAGCTCCACTAAGATGCTCTGACACTGGTGTGGATTTGGGGCCCTTACGTCTAGGTTGTCCCAGACACAGCATTTTTTCATTTGCCTTCCCCAGTGTCAAGGACTCATTCATTCAGTGATTATTTATAGAGAATCTCCTATACTCCAGGCACTGAGCTGATGGCCAGCAATCACAGCTGAACCAAACACAGCTCCCGCCCTGCAGGAGCTTACTGGGTGTCGGAGAGACTGAGTGGGAGGTGAGCCTGTAGCAGTAAGTATTGGGTGCTGTGGAGGGGCAGCTGCCCAGCTTTGGGAATAGGGGGCTTCCTGAAAAAGGTGACATCAAAGCCGAGGTTTGTCAGAGGATGGACAGAGCATTGCAGAGGGCCTCCAGGCCGAGGGGGGAGCATGGGCCTCAGCCCAAAGGAGGGACAGTGTGCAGGTCGGCGGCTGCCTCCACTAGCGGAGCCGAGGAGGGAGGAGTGGAGAAGGGGTGGGCCAGGCAATCAGCTGGCTGTGCCAGAGGGCCTGGGCTTTGCTATGGATTCAGGGCCCCTAAGGAAGGGCACAGGTCCCTGCTGAGGCCTCCCTGAGAGGTAAGTGTGGTCAGCCTCGGGGCCCAGGCTGCCCTCTTCGCTGTGGGGCGCACGGTTGCTTGATGCGATGACTTGTTCCTACGTGCCCCCGCCCCCGCCCCCACGCCAGCTTCTCTTGCCAAAAGCTGTTTGAATTCAAGTGCTTAGACTTGGCCTGGATATAGTTTAGAGACACACAGGGGACAGCTCTGGGTCATCCTGACCTATCTGTAGAGCCACAAAAGCCTAAAAACCCCTCTTGGGGGCAGGCTGGCCTGGGCCCCGAGGTGAGGGTGTGCCCCAAGGGGGATCCAGGAAGCAGCAGCGGGCTTCCCAGGCTCCGTGTGGCACCTGCATCCGCCCTGTCACGGGCCGCAGGCCGCGCACAGCTGTTCCCTGCGTTCGGTCATGCCTGATGGCCAGGCCTCCACCGTGTCCAGGATGCACACCCGAGTCCTGCCAAACAAAGGGGATGGTTAACACACACCCGCACATGAAAAATACCTATGAGTCTAGGCAGCAGCCATAGACCCTGGGGGACGGGGGCGTCACCAGCACTCAGATCTCTGCACTCTTTGGGGGGGAGGCAGGAAGGCTCAGAGACAGGCAGGATCTCTCTGTGGAGACAACTCCCA